ATATTTTTTACTTAGAAAGTATATTGCTAAAATTAATTGTTAAAATTTTATTATAAAAATTAATTTTTAAAAAAAAGGTGCAGGCAAATTTGCATGCAATACAATTTAAGAGATACTATTTTTTATCTTCTTTTTTTTTCTTAAAATATTAAAAAGAAATGGTTTCTATTTTGATTTTAATTATTCATTTTGATTTTAATTATATATTCTAATTTTAATTATGTATACAATATTGGACAAAAATTGTTGGGTAAATTTGGCAAACTGGAGCAAATGAACACGTGCCGCAAAGCTGTGTTGAGCCAAATTATCGTATTTGACAATTTGCCCAATATTGGCGTTATCCATCATGATTGGTAGAGTTATTGGCTGCTGAGGTTTAATTTGAATAAACATGATTACATCGTAACACGAAAAAAAAAATAACAAGACAGATGGCAATTCATGATCATAAGAGTTTTCCGGATAAAACCTCATTCTTGTAATATACTAAAAACTTGGTAGTATAGATTTGATTGCTAAAGACGAATAATATAGGACCAGTTTACACAAAAAACAAGTTCTCTGTATGATGATAAAAATTCCCGTTACCAACCAAATTTGTGTTATCAATATTTAAATATGTATATCTTGTGATTGTAATTTTTTGTTATCTTATGATCATAATTTATTTCTTGTTATTTTTTTGGTATTATATGTTATATTGTAATTGAAATCGAAATCATGATCATGAATTGCCGGATAACACAAATATTGAGTCATGTGTTAATAAATATCATAAAATTTGTCCAATCATTTGCTTGATTAGACAAATCAATCGATACATGTTCAAATATTCTATACATATGCTATTATCCACACATGCATACGTATCAATATATTTTTGAATCAAAAATAATATACTTGAGAAGTTAAGTTTTTGCATATAATATGTCGTAAGTGTCTAATGATCAGACAATGTATCAAACACAACGATTATACAAGATAAACAACAATGCTTTTAATTATTAAAATTTTTTGTTTATTTAAGATATTGGCGTCAAATTTCGTGCAAGGACTGTGCCATATAAGATAAATAATTTTGGAAGGTTAGGTTTTTGATTTCAAATATCGTATGTTTACCGAATAAAAGCTGCCAAAAATGTTTTAAAAAAATGAGAATTTTTTCGGGCTAAAGTGAATAGGTAACTTCTATTCGGATCTAGCTTTATTATTAAAACATAATAACCTTTTTGGGTCCAAAATCGCGGGAGTAGCTTTTATTAGGGACTGTTTTTATTCGGTAACATACGGTACTAAAAATTCTAAAAATTTACAATAACATTCATATCTGCATATTTGCTTACACTCTGCAATGTATGTATGTATGTACAGTATACACGCACGCAGAACAAAAGGCTTTTTAAAATTCCTTTGCTTAAGTTTTTTTGGCATCACCATTATGTAGATCGATTCCATTTTCAACTTTTCGGTAGCACGTATCTTATTAATACATTATGTCAAATAATCAAAAAAAAAAAAAAAAAAAAAAGAAAATGGATTTCTTCTATCCAACCATTCTTTTACCGGCCGCTGGCCGCAAATAAGACATATCATTAAAGATCGGTCAGTTTCGAAATTATACAAGCCATTATCATTTTTGGATTTTTGATTTTAGGATTTGCAAATTTTAAATAATTATAATGTAAGTTAAATATAAAAAAAAGGGCCTAAATCCGTAAATCAGTTCAGTTGATCGGAGAATAAATACATACATGACAATCAAATCCATTAAAATTTTGTTTTTCTCCAAAAAAATTCACTGATCATAAAATGCATATATGTATTAACTTAATCTCATTTTTAACAGTTTTTGAAATATTATCTTAGAATTCATAATGAGATCTAATAAATTCAATAAATTCGATCGCCGGTCATCTTTACATACTCGAATAAATGGCAATGCTTGTTCTCAAGCGAACCTGGTTCTTCCTATCTTCCCTTTAGCACCACCATCAAAAGGTGTTGGTTTATGTAATAATACTGGAGTAGATTGTTTTATTAATTCTACACTACAATGTCTTATGCATATCCAACCGTTCGCAAATTTTTTGGAACGTAATTTAAGATGTATGTTTTTCTTCTAAATAATATCATTTTTACATCTTAAATTTCAATAATTTAATCTTTATGTGGCTAGGTTCATGTTCCGGTTTTTGTGGATTAAGAGAGTTGTCCATTCTACGAATGTGCGCGTTACGAGCGAGATATACGATAAGAAATAGGGACTTACACCGAAACATTAAAGGTTCGGTGAATTGATTTGATTTAAAAATATAAATTGATATATTTTAATATATTGATCTTTTGAATATTTTAATTTTTTAGTTATTGATCCTTTTGCAGATGCTTACCGTCAAAATGACGCTTTTCTCTTTCTCTGTGGATTAATTTCTAATCAAATTGAACGTTGTTGCAATTCTTTACAAACGACTGCTGTATTTTTTGATAGGGTATTTAAAACAACTTGGCGTAATGAGGTTTGTCATATAATATTTTAAACTTACTTTAAAATTCTATCTTTGTTTTTTTTATGAATTAATTTTTTTGTTTATTGATCAGGTCATTTGCACAGCATGTTCGCATAAGTCTATTACTTACAAGCAAGAGCAAGCCATTCAAGTGGGATTAGGAAAAGTGCTTATAGGTAGTATCCGAGATTGGGCCGGTCCTTATCCGCTTAATGATTATAAGTGTGACAAGTAATGTTTAGAAATTTGATGTTTATTTTCTTTTTATGAATATAAAATATAATAGGTCTAATACAATTATTACATTTATTTTGTGTTTAGATGTAGTAAGAATACTTGTACACAAAAATGCAATTTAACTCGCTTGCCTGAAATTTTGATCATACAGGTGAAGCGCTTTCGATATGATCGATGCTCACAACGTTCTGTCAAAATTAACACTTATATGAGTTATAGCGAAATTTTGGATATGTCTGAGTTTTGTGAGCATCCGGAAGAAGACGCACGATACCGTCTTTCTGCATCAATCGTTCATGTTGGAAATACTCCACGAAGTGGACATTACTACGCTTATGCCAAAACAGCTTCTGGATGGGTTAAATTTAATGATAGCACAACAACAAATGTATGAAATATATCATTGGTTATATGTTATTATTAATATTCCCTTTTTTATTGAATCGCCTCATTTATTTTTACTACAGGTTGTTTTAGAAACCACACTTAGAGATAAACCTTACATCCTTTTTTACACCAAGGAGAATACTTCTTCAACTGCTACTGTAGCATCTTCAACTGTTACTGTAGCATCTTCGTCAAGTTCCAATATAAAAACGAATACATCACTGTGTAACACCATCAAATATATAACAAAGAAACAATCTGTTGTATCGTTGAATAGTAAAATTTCCGTTGATATTCAGTCGTCAACTGTCGAAAACGTGACTTCTATCAAATCCGAAACGGTAAAAGATTCATGCGATAATAAAAATTCGTGTGAGATCGTAGATGCTGTCAAAATCAAAAATAAGGATGAGCAAGTTGTATTATGCAATTCAAAAGAATTAGAAAAGATTAACCCATTGGTTAATATTAATGAATCTAATGATAATATTGGATTGAAAGAATCTGATAAGGCTAAATTAGAAGTTAGTAATGTTAAACCAGTGTCAAGGACGGTCGAAATTCCAGAAGAGGGTAAAAATAACAAATCGACTATCATTACAAAGTGTTTCATAGCATCAACAACTTTTATATCTGATCAAGAGAATTTGCAAGCGACTGATACGCCCTCGATAGATTCATCATCGCTCGAACCTATGATATCAGAGGAACCTGGAACTATCACATTGTCTACAATAGAGAACGCACTATTAATACCTTTTGCTTCCGATGTTAAAACCACGGAAGTAATAAAGAAGGATTTAGTTGAAAAGTCATCCGAGATGTCTACTTTAGGAAAGCGTAAAGAAAGGGAAAACGATTATGAGCAAAGCCCCGTAAATAAACAAAAACTAAACAAGATAACGTCAAATGTTCAACATATTAATGATATACCCCAAGAACATATTTCGATTGAAGAATGGCAAGTCCAAAAGAACAAACAAACTGCATTGTCAAATCCTATAATAATTAGTCAATTTTCTAGTAACTCGTCAAAGTCAGTGGTTAATGACCAATCTATAAATGACTTTTGTCAAATAAATACAGCTTCAAATGAACGGAATTGTAATGAGAATTCGACCACTGTATCACTTTGTAGTAAAGGGACACACAAAATTGGGCATGGTATAAGTGTAGTTGAGTACGGACAATGTCGTTGGATTGTTGAAAATCTTCCATCAATAAATTCTTTGAATGATTGTTGGAAAAAGAAATTTTCACATAATAGAAATAAAATGATTCGCAAGAAACGGAAAGGAAAACTTAAAGCTAGGGTACGGAGTAGTATTTGAAAGTATTAGAAATGCATTGTAGAAAAAAACACCTTAATTATTTTTATAGAATGAATAATTATTAAAAGTATATTTAGGTCACATTTAATCTTTTTTTAATTAATAAAAAAAAAATTCTTTGTTTAATTTGATTATTATATGCGTTAGATTATCGTTTGTAGCAAACATTAGATTTTGGAATAAAAAGTAATTTTTATTTTCCTAGCACAAATTTATTAATTAATTTACATTAATCTGAGCATGCGCATTATTTCGGGACGCGTATTGGCGTCATTTCGAAGCCATGTACGTCATTATGAGGTGGTATGATTATTGAGGTAAGCTCATGGGCGTTATTACGCGAAATACTGTAATTATTTTGTTTCCACTTGGCCTTGCTTATACTACGGTTCAATCAATGTATTTTTGCACAACTATTTGACCAAAGGCATATTGACTAATGAGATATATGTTTATACTTGTACGTACGTACTACTCTCTTTAAATATCTTTATAACTACAGTTATTATTTTCTTTGTATTTTTTTGTATACAAATTTACTTTACACATTCAAAAAAAAAATTGATTTAATAGAATAATTCAAAAGTGACATTGTATTGAATCTATTTAATTACAGGATATGTTTCTTTTCGTTTTTTTTTTTTTACTTTTCATTAGAGTAAGTTTTCTCTTTTACTCTGGCTTTAAGATCTTGTTTTCATAATATATAGCATATTATGCTTAATACAGATACATACGTATCAAATTTTAATTTTTTTGAGCTTGAATAGTATTTAAATACTGACCTAACTTAAAAAGTCTAGTTATTCTTTTTTTATAATATTAGGTAAATATTTTAAATGACAAGTAGTCCATTTATTTTTTTAAATATTTGATTTATTTTTTTTAATATTAATGGTGAGGCCATGCCAAATATTTGATTTTTAAAATTATAGCATTGCTTATTTTAATATAAAATGCAATTGTATAATTTGAATAATTTTTAAGTAAAAATTTACATTTTTTTTTTGTAAATGAATTGTTTTTATTGTTATATTAAAAATAGTTATATTTGTATTAAACTAATTTATATACTATTTAGCTTTAATATACAATTAGACCTCTTTAAGTGCACGTCCTGAGGACCAATCACAAATATGCATTTAGAGAGGGTGTGCATTTAAAAGATTTAAATTTATGTTATACAAACTTTATGATCATCCAATCAAAATTAACTTTCAATTTAATATTAATACCTATATCAGACCATTTTTTTTTTCTTTGTTGCACTTGATCAAAATCCTACATACGTATTTTATATAACCTATTAATCATAATTGCATCAAAAAGGTAATTTTAAAACTTGCTTTGCTTTAGCCAACTCCTGAAATTGGCTGATGGTAAGGCTCATATAACTAACATTGATCTTTATGCATTTTACAAATCAGATGCATCAAAACAACAGATGTTAATCATTATATAAACAGATCAGATGTGTTAAAAAATTCATCAGTTGTCTATTAAATAATGTTATACAATTAATAGAAAGCTTAATTTTTTACAAAAACTACTAGAACTATTTTATTTGAACTGTAACATTCTTTTACCTAAATGCAAAGATTATATTATTTTATTTTATTTTATTAAACTATAAAAAAAACTTTAAACTGTAAAAAAAATGTGTTTTTTTAAAAGAGAAAAAAAAAGCTAGCTTTTCTCATAGTAAATTAACTAAATAGCTTGAATAGTTTGGTTGATTATACTAAGCAATCTTTACAAAATTAAAAAGGAATCTTAAAATGTATCAGAAATGTCTTTTTTTTTTAAAAAAAAGATGTTGTTTCTTTATAATCTTATAATTTAAATAATTTAAATACAAAATCATGCTTATTGTTTTTTATTACAAAGAACTTAAGAGTTGTAACTAGAAATATAGTATTTAAAAAAAAGTAGTTTTTTTTTTTAGCCAAGTAATTTGAATAATTTGAATATATATACTGTACTTACTAATTTTTACTAATTTATAAAAGAGGTCTTGAATTACTAAAAATATAATATTTTTCAAAAAAAAATTAGTATTTTATAACCAGTAATTAAATAATTTGAATATGAATTATACTTATTAGAATTATAAAAGTGATTTTGAATTGCTGAAAATACAATGTTTTAAAAAAAAAAATTAGCTTTTTATAATCACTGATTTGAATAATTTAAATATATATACTGTACTTATAATCTTTACTGATTTATAAAAAAGATCTTGAATTGCCAAAAATATGTTTTTTAAAAAAAAGATTGGTATTTTATAACTAATAATTAAATAATTTAAATATAAACTATACTTATCAAATTTATAAAAAAAACCTTGAATTGTTAGAAATATAATGTAGTGTTCTTATAAACCTGAACTGAACTGAACTTTAGTCAAGTTCAAGTTTAGGTTCAGTTCAATACTAAACTGAACTTGAATTTTTTTTAAAAAAAAGTTCAGTTCAGTTTTAGTATTGAACTTTTAATTCAAGTTCAGGTTCAGTTCAGATTCAGTTCAAAGTTTATAAATATATTTAGATTTAATATTTTATATATATATTTTTATATATAGAAGAAAATTACTTAGAGTATAGAAATAGAATTAATTAGTAAAATTTTAAAATAATAGTAATTTTTATAATTTTATTAATAAAATTATATAAAACATTATTATTCTTAAAATTATACTAATTAAACCTATTTTTATCTTCTAAGTAAACTTGTTCTAAATATAAAAATACATTATACTAGCATATATTTATTTTATATTTTTTAGTTCTAAAAAAAAAATGCTTAATTTTTGATTTTTGATAAAAAAATTCAAAATTAAGTATCTTTCCTTTAAAACTAAAAAATATAAAGTAAATATATATTGGTATGATATATTTTTATATTTAAAACAAGTTTACTTAGAATATAAAAATAAGTTTAATTAGTATAATTTTAAGAATAATGATGTTTTGTATAATTTTATTAATAAAATTATAAAAATTACTATAATTTTTAAAATTTTACTAATTAATTCTATTTCTATATTCTAAGTAATTTTCTTCCATATATAAATATATATATATATAATATTGAACTTGAACATGTTTATAAACTTTAAACTGAACCTAAACTAAACAAAATTTTAAGTTCAGATTTAGTTTATGTTTATAAATTTTAAGTTCAGTTCAGGTTTAGGTTCAATGATCTGCAAAAGTTAAAGTTCAGTTCAGGTTCAATGAACTTGGTTTATGAATCTGAACTAAACTAAACTGAATATAAGAATACTAATATAATGTTTTAAAAAAAAAGATTAGTTCTTTATAACTAGTGATTTTAAATAATTTGAATATGTATGTTGTACTTATAATCTTTATTAATCTATAAAAAAGACTTTGAATTGTCCAAAATTTATTTTTTAAAAAAAATAATTAGTATTTTATAATTAGTAATTAAATAATATAAATGTGAATTATACTTATTAAATCTATAAAAGAGATCTTGAATTGTCAGAAATATGCTTCTTTTTTTTTTAAAAAAAAAAATAATATTTTATAACTAGTGATTGAATAATATAAATATAAATTATACTTACTAGATCTATAAAAGGATCTTAAATTGTCAAGAATATGTTTATTTTTTAAAAAAAATTAGTACTTTATAACTAGTAATTGAATAATTTGAATATTAATTATACTTATCAGTTTTATAAAAATGACTTTGAATTGCTAAAAATATAATATTAAAAAAAAGTTAGCTTTTTATAATCAGTAATTTTAAATAATTTAAATATATATACTGTATTTACAATCTTTACTAGTATAGATTTACTCTGAATAAGAAAATGTTTAATTAAAAATTACCAAAACAGTAAATAATAATATAATATGTATTTTTTTTAAATACTATGATAAATAATTTTTTTTATTAATTATATATCATGTTAAGCATTTAGCAATATTGTTAATATTATATTAATCAATATACTATTTCAACTTAGAGCAATTATATTATATTAAATATTATTTATTATTTATATTACTATTAGTAATGTTATCTGCAAATAGTATTAATAAGCATTAGTTCAGTTTAAAAGCAATTTAAGATTTAATTATTGCAAAAAGTTTTTTCTATTAGCTGTAAATATTTTTATATCAACTATTATATAATTTAAATTATCAATTACATTTTTGTCTAAAAGGATTTCTTAAACAAAGAGATTAAATGATAATCATATAATATTAATAAATTTTTTAATATTTTTAGGCTAATCTTTAAATGTTCTTTGCATATCTGTAATATTCATATAATATTTCAAGAAAGCCATCCAATTTCTTTTCTTTAAATGTTCTTTGCATATCTGTAATATTCATATAATATTTCAAGAAAGCCATCCAATTTCTTTTTGTAATATATTCAGAAATCTGTTGTATTATTGGTTGTTTCATCTTGGTTAATTTATAATTTTTATTAATTTATTGATTTTTTTTTAATATTAACAAAAAATTTATTATAATAATTTTACTTATACTTTCTAATAAATTCTGAAGCCAGCTTATGAAGTTCATATCTTAATGCTATATTATAATCTTAATAATATTCAAAAATTCATCTCTGCAATATAGCATGTTCTAATGCACTAGTATGTTAAATATCTAAAAACAAAATTATTATTAGCATATTAATAATTTACTTGTTTACCACTTGTGTACAAAAAAAAAATATTTCAAGTGCATCTGGAGCATTTTGAGATTTTATTTAAAAGAAAATAAATAACTATATTATCAATATTAATTAAATAATATATGATTGCTACAAAGCTAAAATATATAAATATTATAAGATTTGCATATTTTAGCTTTGTAATATTTATATCAAAATTGGGTTTTGAAATTGCTACTACTTGCAGAACCTTAATCAAAGCTTACTCTTTCTGAAAACATACTAAACTTATCAAATTTTTCTTGTATAATTACAGATACTTGGCTATCTGCATTTATTAT